TGCTGGAGAGCAAGTTTCAGAGTCTCCTCTGACATCCATTTTGACCTTTTCCTTCTTTCTTGTCTTCTTAATGACTCTTTGCTCTCTTCATGTACAATGTTCTTGATGTCATCCCACAACTCTTCTGGTCTTCGGTCTTTAGTGTTTAATGCATCAAATCTGTTCTTCAGATGATCTCCAATTCAGGTGGGATAAATTCAAAGTCATATTTTGGCTCTCGTAGACTTGTTTTCATAAATCTTTACAAGAGCAGAAAACCTGACTTTTCTCCGGCAGAGCGGCAGGTGGGTCTAAACTGCTGACCATGCAGTTAGCAGCCCAATCCCTCAGCACCACCAGGGTTGGTCCCTAATCAAAACAGTGAGTGGGGTCTAATCAGATAGCCTTTGAAATGTGGGTCTCTCCTGAAAGCAGAGATCCAAGCAGGAGAGATGTTCTCCAGCTAGCCTTGAAGAGGCAAACAGCCTATGAGGCATGGTGACCTCTGGGCCCTGGGGGCCTCAGTCCTATGACTGCAAGGGCATGTATATTGCCAACAACCTGAAAAAACGTAAAGAGGATCACGTGACTACAGGTTTGTAAAAGCCTGAGCAAAGAACCTAGTTAGGCTGGGCCTGGACTCCTGACCCACAGAAACCACGCCATAACAAGGGAAATCACAAGGTATTGCTACTAAGATTCTGATTCATATACATACTGGTTTATTCCAAAAACAAAAACTTGTTTAAATCTGTCTCTGCAATCAGTGGACAACAGCAGGCAAGTTCTCTCAGTGATACACTTGTCTAAGTTTCATTAGGGCACCAATCACATGAACTGATTTATTACAAAAACCCTGGCCACCTGTTACCAAACATGGCTTATAGTAATAGACAGTCAAAGGAATGTGCTCACCTTGGTGAGGGCATCCTCCAGGGTCCTAGTCACATCCTGAGCCAGGGCCATGGGGCAGCAGAGGCGCAGGTCATTGAAGGCAACCAGAATATTGTTGAGGAAGCAGGCAAGAGGTGGGAAGTCTAACAGAACCATGGGGGGCTGTAGTGTCCCCGGCTGGGTCACTGGCATAGCAGCAGGCATGGTACTGCTACCCAGGATGGCTGGGAACAACATGAGTGTATAAGAGTGCATATCATCCTGGAATTTCTCCACCGCTTCCTGAATGGCTCTTTGGAAGGTGTGGATGGCAACCCGCTGGAAAACAGGAGCCAACTGGCCCCGGAAATCAGCCCCCACACGACTGAAAGACAGTCCAAAGTACATGCACTGGCCTAGCAGGGAGTCCAGGCGGCTGCCCACTCCCTGGTGAAGGTCGGCTTCCAGCACCTGCAGGAACTGTGAAACCTTCTGCAGCACCCAGCTATGGAAGATGGCGCTCTCATTCACAGTGTGCTCCCCCACGGCAGGGGGCAGCAGTGGGTCCTCGTCTGAGAAGATGGCACGGTACTGGGTAATGATATCGAAGAGATGGACACGGCAGGCTTCAATGGTTTTTGTGATGTGGAAATAGGGATCATCAGTGGGGATGGCAGTTAGGATGGAACGGAGCCAGGCATCTCGCGCCTGAAGAAACTTCACCCTCAGTTCGGCCTCTGTGAAGACATCCATTCGCCGCAGGTAGCCAATGACACGTAGACAGGCGGGAAGCTGGATATTGGTTCTTAGTTGCTGGATCAGAAGGCTCAGCATCAGCTGCATGGACTGGCGCACTTCCTTCACGATGCCCTGACAACACAGGGAGTTAGTTACACCAGGCTAGAAAAGAAACTCACGGGAATCCATTCCACTAGCCCTGAATATTGCAGACTAACATTCCCGGTGCTTTCCTCATCAGTAGATTTCCTCAAACTGATGCTTACAGGTTCATCCAAAAAGATCTGGTTGGGTCATCCACTTACTTAAAATGCTCAATGACTTTACACTGAAATAAAAAAGATTCAACTACTCACCTGGCCTGGTTCTTCTTGTGCGCCTTTATAATCCAGTCCCACTGGCTCCCTTTGTAGCTTCTAAACTGTAATTGCTTCTCACCTCAGCCTGCTATACTTCTTGCTTTCTGGTTTTCTCTCAACCCAATGTGGTTGGCTCCTTCTCATCATTCGGGTCTCAATTACATGTCACCTCTCCAGCAAGATCTTTTCTGAATACTCTAGTAGCTAATGTAACCCACCCTAGTATCCCTCTTACTGAGTAAGTGCCTTTGAGTCAGTTCCAACTCACAGAGACCTGTATATATCTCCCTCTATACTTGCTTTATTATTTTTTTCAAACACTTACCATGATCTGAAATGATACTGTTTATTCATTTGTCAATTAGACTGTCCATAAGAATACAAATGTGATGAGAGCCAGGGCCTCCTCTACTTTGTTTATACTGTCTCCAATGCCAAGACCAGTACTTGGTACATGAGTAATAAACATCTGCTGGATGAATGAATGAATGAATGTTTTATATTCAAGGCTGTCTGACTTGTAGAAACTGACATGAAACATGCAAGGGGTTTCCTTAAGGTTTCTACCTAAAGATTCAGTGAAGACCACAAAAGCACCAGTTGTGAAACTATCAGTTTGAATCCTCTCTGGGCAAGTTGGCTACCTGGATGACAGGAATGGAGGAGTATTTTCTTTCCAGTCGGCGTACATAGGCTGCAAGCTCCAGGGCCTCTTCATAATAGCTGTTGCGGACACAAGTGTCCATGAGCTGAGGGATCTCCAGGATTTCCAGGATCTCTGTGTGCCGGTTCAGAGTCAGGGTGTTCATCCGGCGGTTGGAGCTGATCTCCTCAGCCTCCTTCACAAAGTTCCTAGTAACAGTCAGGACAACATCGGTCCCTCATTCACTACACCCAAACCTATGCTACAATTAGTTACAAAACACTTCCCATGAACTGAGCACTGGACTGAATGGTTCATCTATGTAATCCTCACATCAAACCTGAGGTAAGTGCTCTTACCCTTGAGGAAACTAATCCTAGAGAGGTTCAGCAACTTGTCCAAGGTCACACAACTAAGAAACAATAGAGCACAAACGTGCACCCAAGTTTGCCTGCCACATACTGGCTGTGACAAGGAACTTAACCTCTAGGAACCTGTTTCCTCATTGATAAAGTCGTGATGGTGGTGGTTATGTGCTGTGGAGTCCGCTCCTGCATAGTGACCCCATATAGGGTTTCTGATGCTATAAATCTTTATGGGAGCAGAAAGTCTCCGCATTCTCCCCAAACTGCTGACCTTGTGGTTATAAGCCCAACTTGTAACCCACTATGCTACCTGAACTCCTTCCATTGATAAAAAATAGGGCTCCTCATTAAGGCTGTGGAGTCCTGGGTTGGGGTACACGTTAATGCAAGGTCGGTGGTTCACGCTCACCAGCCACTCCTCAGAGACCCTTACACAAGGTTGCTGTTGAGTTGGAATCAACTAGACAGTTCTTAATAACATAAGGCTGTGAGGATTAAATTAACTGATCAAAGTAATGCACTTAACATAGACCCTAACACGGAATACTTAACAATAGTTACTAAAACTATTTTCATAAAAGCAGGAACTAACCTAGAAGGCAAAGCCTTACCCCCAAGTTCTTCCAGCCTCTTAGGCTATTCAACAGTAGTTAATGTCACAGTCTACTCTCCATTGTTCCTCTTTAATGAGAGCCCTGTGTTGTGAAGTTCCTTATCTACTTTGGGAGGTGGAAGGGCACAAAAGCTGCTGTCAAACAGCCAATGGCTCCGAAGAAAAATCACATATTTTTTTCACGAGAGGCTAGAAGGCAAAATTAAGGAGAATGGATTAAGGCTATAGGAAGACAGAATCTGGCACAAAAAAAGTGGGGACTTTTTGATTGATGTATGTTTCCAAATGGGGAATTTCCTTGTCAGTTTCCTATCATTAAAAAGTTTTGGAGTAGATGACCACTGGCACAAGCTGTTTTACAGAAATATGCACATTTCTGTTAAGTTGGCATATACTGCCACACCACCCTAAATGCTAAAATACTAAAAGCTAAGTCGGGTTGGCCTGCTTAGTATTGGGAATGGAGAGCCCCTAGGAATACCAGGTGCCGTATAGGTTTTGTGCACGCACACACACTGCTGCTGGCCTCACTATGAACTCTTGATGTGGTGCTGTAGGATCGCACTGGACTGTAAACCACAAGGCCAGCAGTTAGACCCACCAGCTGCTCTTCGGAAACGCTATGCAGGGTCATTATGAGTTGGAATGGGCTCAACAGCACTTAACAACATTAAGGTGGCATTTAGAGTGTCAATATATGATAATAAAGACTTTTTTACATGGATTCTCTTTGGTACTCACAACAGCCCTTCCAATTTAGCTTCAAAACCTAGAAGCCTGGACGAGTCACTATTCTGTTTCTCAGCTTCCTCATACGTAAAATGGCAACACCCACCTACCTCAAATGTTACTGTGAGAATTAAATGAATTAATAAAACTTGACATGCGGTAAGCGTTTTGTAAGTGTCAGCTATGTCTATCGCCGTAAATGACAACTCTTACAGCTGCTAAAAGCCCCCTTCATGCCGGGACGCCACACCTGCAGCTCTGTTGGAAGCTAGGTAAGCGGTCCAGCAAGTGACCGAGCGACTCCTCCACATCGCCGAAAAGGCGATGGATGCGCTCGGTGCACTCGGCCCCGCGGATGAAGGTCTTGTAGTTGGCGAAGGCCAGGTCGCGCGTCTGCTGCAGCAGCTGCGCCCGCTCTTCTGCCAGGCGCTCGGGCTCGCGCCTCAGCCTCTCCAGCCCAGAGCCGCTCAACTCTCGGAGGTAGCGGCCCACATCCGGCCGCTCGCGCCACTGGGCCTCGGGGAAGCGGTCCCGGAACAGCGATGCCAGGAGTCCTTCGTCTTCCACCTCCCCGAGAGCGGCTGCTGTGGCCGTCGCCTTGGTCAAGGCCGGAGTCTTGGACGGAATAGTCACTGTCGCCGCCATCTTCCCAGTATCAGCGTCTCCGAACCAGTTACGGCTACAGCTCCTCCTCTAAGATCGGAAGCAATAGAAACTCATTTCCGGTCTCTATGGCTGCTTGCTCGGCTGGCTGTCTTTCCTGTCGGTCGTCAAGGCTACGAGGCGCTGGCGTGGAAAACGAATGGAAAGCGGCTAGAGAAGCCAGCTTTGGCTTCCGTTTCCGGCGACCGAGGCACGAGGATCCGGTGTTCCGGCCTAGCGGGAAAATGCGGCCTTTGACTGAAGAGGAGACTCGGGTGATGTTCGAGAAGCTCGCGAAATAGTAAGAGCGCGCGGGGAGGAAGAGTGTGTGTGAGAGAGAAACGGGTAGGGGCGTGGGTGGCATGGCGGGACGAGTGTTTCTTGTACCCTCAGCATCGGAGAGAATCTTCAGCTGCTCATTGACAGACCCGACGGCACCTACTGCTTCAGGCTGCACAGCGACCGGGTGTACTACGTGAGGTGAGGCGGGACGAGACCAGGCGGGTAGCCTGGACCCGGGTGGGCGCCTGGGTGCCTCCTGCTTCTCATCCATCACCTTGTTCTCCTTGCCGACCTTTAGTGAGAAGATCCTGAAGCTGGCCGCCAACATTTCCGGAGACAAGCTGGTGTCCCTGGGGACCTGTTTCGGGAAATTCACGAAGACCCACAAGTTCCGGTTGCACGTGACAGCTCTAGATTACTTGGCGCCCTATGCCAAGGTTTGTGGGATGGTTTCTATTCCGGGGACAAGGTGTCAGGTGGACGAGGGCCACACCAGACTGCAGATTCTGGGCAGGTCCTAATGTGTGGGCGGGCGAGGGGTATGGGTGCTGTCTGCCACCGTACCATGGCTATCAGAGTGACCGCCCGCGAAGTAGAGACGCCCGTGCAAGGCCAGCTCGGGAGGGAGACACCCAGAACCAGGAAGAGCTTATTTACATGGTTGAGTGAAGGAAGACTTGTGGCGCCTGCGCTCAGGGAGTCCTGGCATGGCGCTGAGGCCTAATGCGCTGGACTGCAAAGTCGGCTTGAACCATAAGGTCGGTGGTTCAAGCTCACCAACCGATCCTTGGAAACCCTACACAGAGTTGCTATGGGTCGACTTGATGGCACTTAACAACAGTGTGCATCAGGAGGGACATCCTGGTGTGGCGCTGTGACTTAATGCACTGGACTTCCGACTCCGTTTGAACTGGAAGCTCAGCGGGTCAAGGTCACTAGCCGCTCCTGGGAAACCCTATACAAGGTCATTATGAGTTGGAATCAACTCCACAGCACTTTATAACAACAACAGTGTACTTCTTGAGTTCCTGGGCTATGCACACAGTTACTGCTCTGGGCTGCTAACCAGCCAGAACCACCTTGAGAGAAAGGCCTAGCATCTCCTGAAAACCTGGCCACTGACCATCCTAGGGAGCACAGTCCTATACTGACAACACATGCGGTTGCAGTGAGCCCAGATCCCCTCTATAGCAGCTGGTACTGCTCATATGCTTAAACACTCATCTTTTGTTTGTTTACAATTCTTTCAAGGTATTAACCCAAAATTCAATCTCTTTCTTATAGTATAAAGTGTGGATAAAACCTGGAGCTGAGCAGTCCTTCCTATATGGGAACCATGTATTGAAATCTGGGCTTGGTCGAATTACTGAAAATACCAGTCAGTACCAGGGAGTGGTGGTGTACTCCATGGCCGACATCCCATTGGTAAGTAGAGGTGGTGGTGGTGTGCTGTGGAGTCGGTTCTGACTCATAGCAACCCTGCACAGGGTTTCCAAGGCTGTCAAATCTTTATGGGAGCAGAATGAGATGGTATTTGTCTATTTAAAGTACAAATTGAGTAGCTTTTTATTTAAGAAGGATGTCTTTTCAAACTACAAAGAAAGAATACATTCTCTACCTTTTGAGTTCTTCAAAGACAAGGATCCTGTTTTGTGTTTTCCCATCTTTCTTATTCACAGCACTCAGTACATGCTTACTGGATGACTCAGTGAATCAGTGTCTCTTCTTTTGAATCCCAGGGCTTTGGGGTGGCAGCAAAGTCTACACAAGACTGCAGGAAAGTAGACCCCATGGCGATTGTGGTATTTCATCAAGCAGACATTGGGGAATACGTACGGCATGAAGAGACATTGACTTAAAAGGAAGTCATCTGAAGGAATTGTGGCTGTGTGGAAGGGCCTTGGTTTATGTCCTGTGTCTGGGTTGGTGCCACCATCATGTTGTGTTTTGTCAACAGTGTGACTCTTCAGTGACTTCTTGGTTTAATATTCTTTCTATTACAGATGCAGGCTGGATTCTTGTTGTAGAGAAATGGCTTTAAAATGGGGTATTAGATCTTTGTGTTTGTGACGACAGGGAATATGTGTTGGTTGTTTTTTTTTTTTAATTTGAATCAGAGGGCTTCTTGTTAATTTTCTGAACTTAGAAGACTAGCTTGTTACTGTTATCTAGGATAACACTACATTCTAGATTTGTGAGGAAAATCTGATGAATTTCTTATTTATTATTATTGTGAATGAGATTGTCGTGTCAGACCTATAGGCCTTGCTTGGAATTTTACAAGTGAGATTTAACGAAAATAATACAGCACTTCCATTTTTGTGTAATGTAGAAGCTATGTGGTGTGGGAGAGCACCTAAAGTCAACCCCCTGTTCTGCCTTTGACCAACCACATACAGCCTTAGCTGAGTGATTCAGCTTTTCTAAGCTTTGCTTGAAAAAAAGTTTTAACCTTCTACCTATGGTTTTTACAATTGGAGATCATGATTGTAAAGCACCCAGTATGGTTCCTGCAAATTCTAGATACTCAGTAAATGATAAAAATCACTATTTTCCACTGCATATACTGAGCATTTGTATTACTAAGATTAAGGTCTTTTGAGTATACTTTGATTATGTTTGCTTAATTTTTTTTGAGGTATTTGGCAAATCTTATTTTGAATAGTATAGTCTCAAGCTGAAATGTCTATATCATAATCTTGACTTCATAAAACATTTTTTTTTTTATGAAACTTACCTAGCTACACTGGACTGAAAAAACACCAGTAAGAGACTGTGAAATAATAAGCTCCTTCCTCTTTCCCTATGCATTCCAAAATTATTTTCAGAATTACAAACCCTTTTATATGTATATATAAAAGTAAATAAAACTTTTTTTTAAAGTTTAAAAAAAAGAAATAAGTAAATAAAACTATCTGTTTGATAAATGTCACTTTTTATTCCAAAGGTGGAATAAATTTTTCTAAAAAGCAAACATTTTTCAACTGCAAAAAAGGTATGCTACCAAATCTCCCTTTTCTATGCAAACTAACCTGATTTGGCCCCAACTTTGCAATGGTATCCTTTCTAGCTTCTCTGTTAACCTCTTTTTAAAACAGCTGACCTCTACAGATAGCAGTTTACTGCTTATCCTACAGTGCTCCACTAGGACCCCTGAAAGTCATTGTTGTTAATGTGTTGTTGAATTGGTTCCGACTTAACAGCGACTCTGTAGGTTTTCAAGGGAGCAGCTAGTGTGTCTAAACGCTAACCTTGAGTTTAGCAGTCCAGTGCTTATCCTGAAGCACCACACCAGGACCCCGAAAGTCAGTTGTTAGTGCCGTCAAGTTGGTTCTGACCTACAGCGTCCCTATATAGGGTTTCCTTAGAGCAACCGGTGGTTTTAGACCACTGACTTTGTGGTTAGCAATCTAATACGTATCCTACTGTGCCACACCAGGACTCCTAAAGTCAGTTAATGCTTAATGTGATAATCTAGAAATAAATAAATTTTTTTAGAGTTCTAGAGAATGCTACAGAAACTTAAAAGAACATCAAAAGTTGCTTTTTCTAAGAAATGAGAAGAGAATAAAGTTCATTTAGCTTGTAATTTTGTGCCATTTTAGACGGTTTAAATTTTCATTTTTATGCACATAATTTTCCAATAAAATCGTAACTAAAGAAAACAGAAACCCTTTTTATGTTATTTTTCTTTTATTGCCATTGTGTCTTTGCAGATGAGAGCAATAGACTAAAACACTGGCTTGAGAAATTGATTTTTCCAATTACTTTTACAAAACTGATTAGATCATTTTCTGCCCCAGAAGGGAAAAACCACACTGCTGTAATTCTCTTAGCTTAGCATCTTGGCTTCTTTGTTTCTGTAGTTGCTGGAGCATTGAAGAGACGCTTCAAGAAATACAGCTGCAGGATCCCAGAAAGAACAATTATGAGGCTCTGGGCTGTGGACCACCAGTTCACATAGTTATAGTTTGATTGGAGAAGGAAAAAGTCAGCCATTTTCCTCATGCGGGCAAAGTTGTAGTATCGCCACATGTGAAAGATATTGATCTGCACCTTTCGGGTACTCTCCTGTTGGGGAGAAAATCAAATTTTTAAAGAGTCCACCACCACCCTCATCCTCACTGGGTGCTCTTAAGCATTCACCTATTGGACATGAATAACTTACTCATGTGGCTTCATAATATATAATCAGCATCTTGTACTTGTTGGTCAATGACTCATTTTGCTGTGTGTGGAAAAGATGGCTTGCGCTTTGGTTGTTTTTTTATTTTTAATTTTTATACAGAAAGTCTTGCAGTCTAGCGTATTAACCCACAGCGCCACACCAGGATTCCGTGTAATATACAGAGTCCTGGTGTTAATGGTTAATGTGCTGGACTGCAAGTTTCAAGCTCACCAGCCACTCCAAGGAAACCCTATATAGGGTTGCTATGGGTTAGAACTAACTCAACGGCACTTAATAACATGTATGTGTGTATATATGTATGTATGTTACGTGCCACGGAGTTGGTTGCGACTCTGTCATCCTGTACAGGGTTTCCGAGGCTGTAAATCTTTACAGGAGCAGAAAGCCTCTTCTTTCTCCCGCGGAACAGCTGATAGTTTCAAACTGCTGACCTTAAGGTTCGCAGCCCAATTCATAACCACTACGCTACCAGAGTTCCTTTTTGTGTATATACATATGTATAGATATGTATGTATGTGTGTGTACATTTATATATATAGATAGATATGTATGTATGTATGTATACACACCCAACCCACACACAATGTAACATTGTCAGATCATAAAAATGGAAAACTAATGAGGTACTGATACATGCTCCAACACTGATGAACCTTGTAAACAGTGAAAGAAGCCTGGCATCATACAGCAGCATGCATTTATAGGAAATGTACAGAAGAAGCAAATCCAGATTTAGTGGTGGCCAGGGGCTGAAAGGAGAGGGGAATGGAGAGAGGGACTAAAATAGGTTACGGAGTTTGTCAGAAGGTAAAAATTTCTTCACATTTGACGGTGGTTATGTTTACACAACCTACAGAATACTTAAAAACCACAAAATAGAATACTTTAAAATTGTCATTTATGATATGTAAATCATCTTATCAAAACTAGGGGTACATTTGGCATGTGAGCAGATCTGCCAGCCCCTGGTAAGAGAGAAGGGATTTCAAGAGTCTCGAGTTGTAAAAATTTACTAAAGACCCTTTGGTAAACTGGTCCATCATAATGATTTTCACACAAAACAGTTACCTCAATTGCATCCAGAGTATCATTCAGTTGTTTCCTTTCATTCTCTTTGTGGTTCATCTCAGGTCCCTCATAGAAGACTCCAAAGTTTAAATACACTTGTACAGAACCAAAGTGGTTTTGCTGGTTACTTAGACAAAGCTGATAAAAACCTGTAGGGATTCCTAGATCATTACCAAGTCTTCAGTCTCTTCTTTGTTCAGTTTCCCTAGAGAGATCTGTTCCCAATGTTAAATTCGCTAGCATAGCACCTTTTTGCTTAGAAAGTAAAAAAGCAAAGTTGTGACATGTAAGACACAGATATTATATTAAACTTGTTATATTAAATACCATTTTTATAAGCATTTTACCAAATATTAGTAAATATAGTTCTGTACTGGGTAGAAACTACCCCCTTTTCCAATCTATAATGTCTTACTCTTTATTGGAAGATTAAGATTGAACAACTTGAGCTGAAATTAAGAGTATGATAATGTACACCAATAACGTTGCAGCCACCATCTGGACTTGAAATGAAGAGGCTGGGGAGATAAATGTTGTGAATGAAAGAAACCAGCTTTCTAGTGTGGTCTGTACACAGTGCTGATGATTTGGATTATGTACTAATGCTGATGCTCAACTGGGGTTGTATGCCTGTGTGGAGATAGTGGTGGGGTGCTAGAATGAGAAATATGTGGCATTGTTTTTGATTGTTAAAATAATTAGTAGGCATGTCTGTGTTGCTGTAGGATAAGCACTGGACTGCTAACTGCAAAGCTGGTAGTTCAAACCCACCTCAAAAGCCCTATTCAAGATCAGAACTAACTAGATGGCACTTAACAAACCAGTAAAGAAGGAGTCTGAGGGTGACCCAGAGGTGCCTTGTAAGAAAGGACTGTTGATCTGCTTTTGAAAAATTTGTCACCGAAAACTGTAAGAGCACACTTCTCTGACCCCCATAGGGTCACCATGAGCCAGAATTAACTTGATGGCAGCAGGTTTGGTTAGTAAACAAGGCTGTTAAAACATTGTTGATACTGTTCAACTCTGTTTGGCCATAGGAATCTTGTCACTGGTGAAATTGTTGTAGAGTGAAGATACTTTATTTTCTTTTGTTCTAAGTCTGTCTGTAGGTAACTGATTCAAGTATTCTGATGACCAGAAAGAAATGCTACCCTCTGATAAATATATTCATTATAAGTGGACCTCTCTGTTTTGGTCACTTTCCCAGAATTGGAGCAGTTGGGAGATTCTGAAATGAAGTTGAGCTTCATGACTGTGGAGTTAACATAATTAGTGAACTGGAGATCCTGATCCCAGACTGCCAGTGGATGTCTTCGGGTGCCAGCAGTTTCTAAGGAAACTGGTCAATTTAATTGGTTGAAACTTAAAAAAAAATTTTTCCCTGTTGTTTCATCAGCCCTATATGGAAAAGGCAGGGCTTTTATATTTTAACTACTTTATCTCAGTACTTTTTCATTTCTTTAATTTTATAGAAATAGATGATGATTATAATAGTTGTGATGATGAGAACAGACCTGTCTCTTGGGTGTAGAAGTTAATCTGACCCCGAACATTCTGGGAGGTGTCTATCAGGAAGCCTTGTGGGGTATATGTAGTGGCAGCAACATGGCGGTCATGTGACATTCCAAGTGTCCGTTGAACCTGCCAAGACACATTAAAGAAGGATGTAGCTGTGCTATATCACCAAGAAACTAAGTTATAAGGCTGACATCCCATAATCAGCACAGTCACTCTCCACCAGGGATGGTGCTCCCTCGTCACCTCTGGGAGGTTTAAAGTTGAACAGAGGCTCTTTTCAGTTGTCATGAAGTCAGAGTTGCTGCAGTGATGACGGTCATGCACTGTTTGCAGTAAAAAAGTTTGTCTTGCCCAAACTGTCAGCAGTGCCCATCCTGTTGAGAAAGATGTGTCCCATAGTTGGTGTTTATCCATTGGTATGTACTTTCCTGGCAGTAGAGTTCTTGGCTGAGCTTTCTGGTTGTTGAGCTCCCTGGTGGTGATCCAGACTTGGGCTTATTTGCTGCTTGACAGCCCATGACTATAGCAAGGCACTCTGTTGTCCATCCCCAAATTGGGTCTTAAACCCAAGCTACAAAGAGCTGACTAATACAAATTCACAGATAAGAAAACGCTTAAGTGAATTTTAACATATGGGTGGAATGGAGTATGTTTAGCATAATCTATTACCATGTAAACAAAAACTTAGAAGATTACAGGTTCTTAGTAAAAAACAAAGGAGTACCTTAACTTTTAATACTGAGCTTGCCATCCTTAGCCACTATGGTATAAGATCACATATGGATAAAAACATTACTCTCCTTAGAAACCCTCTACAGGGTCACTGTGAGTTGGAACTGAACACCACCACACAACCAACATAATCGGTTGGTTGGTCTATATAACCAATTGCTCCTGGGTGGTACACATTCAAGTGCTAGGGTTTCAGTATAAGCCCGGTGACTTAGAATTACTGACCTTCAAAAGGAAATTGGATTGTCTGGCTAAACAGAGATACTTTGCACAAGTGGTTCGTTCTCCAATTCTCAGAATTTGGCCCTAAAGACAGAAAGGCAGATGTGTCTTCCCTCAACCCCTTGAACTGAAGCAGGTTTCTCTGAAATATCTGAATCTCTCTCCACGGTTCATGTGATTAAAAAAAAAAAAATTATGCCGCATTCATGTTTTCATATTTAAAAATGCACTCACACCTCATCTCTAAATCTGGGTAAATTGAATTACTTTTTCAAGAAGGAGTACCCTGTTTTGAACACTGTTTGGGGGCTTTGAGGACACTTCTCCAGCCCCCACTCGGAAAAGCCACACCATATGTTGTATCTCTCATTAATGATTATTCATCCATTGTCAGTTTCTTTCTGGGTCCATTTCATCAGCAGGTAGGGAATCACAGTATAATAAAGACCAGAACCTTATTTTAGTCTAAAATTGGACGTACTTTACAAAAGGCAAGCCCCTAGTATGGCCAGAAGAGCTGAAGTACCCACCTCATAACTGAAATAGAAGTATCCGGTCTGGTGGGCAAATTGCCAAAAGCATTCTATGCCTCCTGGTGAGATCATGATGGCAAAATCATAACGATCGGCTCCACGGAAGAGTGGCTGGTCCCCAGAGCCACTTAGGGGCTCTGTCTTCTGGGTCCTAGCGGAGGCTACCAGATTCAGAATCACCAGCGCAGCACCAAAGAGCATAGGAGACATGCTGGTTTCTGGAGCTTACTCTGCAGGTGTACTGCTTGCAGTCCAGGGAAACCAGGTAGTTCACACCACTGCTGGGATAATTATTAACTCCACAAGTCACATTTAGGCCACTTTCAGGGTGACACTTACATATTCCTTAATAGAACCAGCTTGATACTTTCAGGTTTGGCTCACAGGAAGAGTTTTCACATTTACCTCCAAAACGTACAGGCCTATCAAAATGTATATACATCATAGCTGATTCATGGAAGCTACTAACTCTAGATACTTCCACCCATCCTTCCCAACTGTTTTCCATCCATGCTTGTAGGGGATGAAATACTGGCTAAATTTACTTAAAAACATCTGAATAGACTGATGAAAGTTGATTGAGGAGATTTTCTCTCATTTGTGTCAAAGGATCCCTAGTGGCACAGTCATTAAGCTCTCACCTGCTAAGCCAAAGGTCAATGGTGTGAACTTCACCCTCACTGTACAGGAGTAAGATATGTCAGTCTACTTCATACAGCCTTGTAGTTAGGAAGATTAAACATAACCAAAGAGAATACATCTCTGGGCATAGGGGCTCAGGACCATAGCCTTGGGACACCAAGGGCAATTGGCATAACATAATAGTCCCCAGCCAGTGCTCTGTGTCCTACTTCAGGGATCAGTGTTCTGGGGCCTTCTCTGGTGAGTAGCCACAGGAGTCTTAAAAGCTTGTGAGCTGCCATATAAGATGCAAAGAAGAAGAGTAGTGAAAATGCAAACAGTTAGTCTACTGAGCCACACAGACATCAGTCTCCACAACACTGAAACCAAAAGAACTAGATACTGTATGGCGACCACTACGACAACCACTATCAACTGCTCTGAAAGGAGTTACATTAGAATGTTCTCGATACAGTGGGAGAAACTGGAACTACATTCAAAATTTTTTTTTTTTTTAAAAAAGACCAGAATTACTGGTCAGATAGAGACTATGGCTCTTGGTCACTCATCATGCCTGGAACTAAACTCTGCCCACTCCCTCACCATGGATCGGTTTTCAGCCAGGCAGTGGACATGCCTATGAGGTGATGTCACTAGTGAAGTGTGCACACCTTGGAATGATCAACCATGAGAGAGAAAAATGTCACAACTAAGGATAAAGTGAGAGGAGTGATGCTGCATTGGAGGGTAGGGGGGGAGTCAGTATGAGATGGAATGTGTATAAACTGTGAAATGTAGAACTGATAATCTGCTTTGTAAACCTTTACCCAATAAAAAGTTTAAAAATAAAGCCTTGGAAACTGTGGGGCAGTTCTACTCTGTTAACAAAATTGCTGAGATGGAATGACCTCAGTAGCTTTTTTTTATGCATGTCAAATTGCTTGCTGATAACTGTTGCTTTTTTATCACCCATGGGGCAACACCTGTTTCAACAGACATTCTTCTGCAGCTTGGATAGTACAGCACAGCACTTAAATGTATGCCCAAATGTAAATGGATGAATGCAGTGCGCAAGCAACAGAGGTCAAAACGTCTCCAATGGCCAGCCTCCTCACTGATTCTTCACCTTCCGTTTGACAAAGTAATTCTATCAAAAGCTATCCAACCCATTTGAAAGACTAGAATATTGTTCAAAACTTACATCTTTTATCTGGGACCTGACTGACCCACAGCAAACAGTGCCCACTGACTTCATTGACAGTCACTATGCTAAGATATCTATCTGCTCCTATCTTCACAACACCCCTGAAAGTAGGAGATACTATAAACTACTATCCTGTTGTTAGGTGCCATTGAGTTAGTTCCAGCTCATAGCAACGCTATGCACAGCAGTTCTACACTCAGCAACTTTGTTTTGGCTGATAATATTAAGGTTCTCAGTCCTCTCTTCCCGCAGATATAGTCAATTTGCTCCTAGGTATTCCATCTGGTGAGGCCAGTGTGCATAGTCCCTGTTTATGTTGTTGAAAAAGGTATGCGGAGTGAAGAAGTTGCTGGTCTTGCAAAACTTTATCATGTGATTTCCAGCATCATTCCTATCAAGACCATTTTTTCCAATTATCCTTTTTCTTTCCAATCACCAGTAATTTTCAATGCATCTTGACTGCATTTCAGACTTAAGATGTTGGTAAAATTGTTAAATTTCATCATTGGTTTTGAAAGTTGTTTTACAAATTTCAGTAATAGTTGTATTGACTGGTATTGTAGGTGTATAGATAGTCAAGGTAAATCTAGAACTGTTTTTAAGGATGAATGTGATACCATTCCTCTTCAATGTGTCATTTGCAAGTAAACCAGAATGTCCAATTCAAAATGGCCAAAATTAGTGAGTTCAGCTTACTAATGCATAGGATGGAGTACTGGTGTGGCACTGTAGGATAAGCCCTGGATGCTAAACACAAGGTTAGCAGTTCAAATCCATCAGCCATTTCTCGGAAACCCTTTGAGTTGGAATTGACTCGACAACCCTTAACAGCGCCCAGGCTATCGATCTTTAAATGCTTCATTTGGTTTCTGGTGACTTAAATAGTTTTTCTGGATTCATACCTACCACATTCCAACTATTGTTTACTGATGTTTCTTCTTATTTTGTGTCATACCCCATGAGCAAATGAAGATTCAAAAGCTTTGCCCCATCCAGGCCATTAATGTCGACTCTACTTTGAGGAGGTAGCTCCATCTCAGTCATATTTTGGGTACTTTCCAACCTGAGGGGCTCATCTTCCAGTACTATATCAAATGATGTTTCGCTTCTATTTGTAAGATTTTCAGGGCTTAACCCCTCAGAAGTAGAGTGCCTATCCATTCTTCCCAGTCTGCTTTAGTCTGGAATCCCCACCACAGGTCATCTGCTGCTATTTGACACACCAGTGCTATAGCTTCCAGCATCACAGCATGGTGCAAGCCACCACAGTATGGCAAATTGACAGAAGTGTGGGGCCAAATGTCCTAAGCAGGAAACAGGCTAGTGACTTGCTCATGGTCCCATAACCACATCTGTCAGAGGTGGGCCCCTGATTGGGGTTTACATTTTTAACCACAGGACATAGGTTTTGCAGGTTTTGCTCAGACTATCAGTCTCGTAAGTTCTGAGACTGTCTACAAATTATTTCAAGGATAATTTTAGAAAAAAAAGAAACCATAAAACCTATATTAATTATTTCTGTGGTGCTGTGAGTTAATGCACTGGACTGCAAGGTCTGTTTGAACCACAGGGTTGGCGGTTCAAGCTCAGTAGCCATTTCTTGGAAACCCTATACAGGGTTGCTATGAGTCAGAATCGACTCAACGCCACTTAACAACAGCCAAATACTGATTCAGAAATAATTGAAGTGACTTCAAGTGGTACTCATCCAAAACTAGTAAGAGCAAACTTCATGCACATGGTATTCAGTTTTAGTAAAGGCCAAAGGACGTCATGGTAGCCCAGAGGCATGGTGGCTCTGCAGAAGTTCAAGATGTAGTACCAGAGACTGGATCTATCTCAGCACAGATCTACTCTCTCCAGTCTGCATGCTGCCATAATCATCAAACTACATGTGTCATGAGCAGTGTTGATAGTGAAATTTGTCAACATGACTGAGCCAGGATTCTCAGTGGTTTGGCAGTAAGATACAGTCATTTCCTATGATGAGATTTGCTATGAGCAGGCAATCAACTGATGCTTTCCTCAGGATCATAGCCTGTTTCCAATAGAGCTGCGTTCTGTTGGGTCTGGATTCAGTATCTGTCTCTCATCCAATCTCAGGTTCTTTGAACTTGAGCCAGTGTCCTTGCTCTATTGTCTGATATTGGCAGCCAGCCATCATACCTGCCTGCTGTCTGACCTGTCAATCATGGTTTATCAGCTCTGTAACTACATTAGGCAGAGACCTCCATCCTAACATCTGACCAACAGACTTGGAACTTGCCCAACTACAACTGTGTGAGCCATTAACTTAATATAAACATATATATATATACACACACATATATAAGCTTCACTGGTGTTGCTTCTTTAGAGAACCCAGCTTAAGACAAGCAATAACTTAAATCAGTTCATATTGTTTTATATAGAAAAAATATAAACATAATTATATGTTTATATATATTCAATAACCTTGTAATAAAAAATTATGTGAAAAAACTGTTACAGGGCCTCTTCATCCTCATGCTTCTCACATGAGGATATTTTGCTTCCCTATATGCCTCACAGTTTGGCTTTTTTCCTTACAGCTAATGACTTGAGAGTTAGGGGAGAAAAGCTGCTCGATTCCAAACATGGTTTCAAAGGAGATCACTAACTGCAATTAGGTGACTAGATAAATCAGTGAAACCCTTCTCACTGTGGTTTCATCTCAGGCTGCTTGATAGCAGTACATACCCCAAAGCACATAGCTGATTGGCAATAATGCTGTTCAAAATTTCCAGTTTAGAACTACAAAATGAATTCTAAATGTTCAGCATTTTTTGTAAGTTTCCTTTCACTCACTCAGAAGTGAGAAAGGGGAAGTTCTTTCAGCCCCAGAAAAACTACAAGGAGGATTAGTGAACTGCATGGAAAAATGGAATTAAAATGTATTGAAATTTTTCATAAACTTTGAAGCCCCCTATTGTGATGTGAGGAAATTGATAAACGAACTTCCATATCTATCTGACATGGTTTCCACAGATTAGCAAATCTAATACAGTGTTGACAGCAGCTTCATCGGTGTATACTGATAGACTTTCTCAGCCACAAACATCACAGATTTCTTTGTTTAGAACACAGAAGTGGTGATCAGTTGAGGATCATTCAAGTACCACATCCAAAGTATATCACTATGCTACCCCCATTGCTGGAGTCCTGGTATGGCTATGTGGCTTAATGCACCAGACTGCAAAGCCTTTAGAACTGCAAGATGGTGGTTCAAGCTCACCAGCTTCTCCTCAGAAACACTATACAGAGTCACTATGAGACAGAATAGACTTAATGGCACTTAACAACACTCCCATTGCTAATGAATGTATACTGCAATTAAACAAATGCGTAAATCTGAGAGAAGCAAGACTTTAATGAAGAATGCTACGAGTTACAGACAATACTCATATTAAAAAAAAAAAAAAAAATACAGAAAACACTTTACTGAATTTTGTTTAGACATCTTTAAGGATGCCTGAGAGCGACAGCAAGCACAACAAAGTACAAATCGAGAAGGGAATGTTGAATTCCAGTGCAGGACACCGACACAGCACAATTAAGGGAGTCGGGCAGAAGCTATCATTTCACAAAAAAATGGAATTCGGCATTTATAGCCAATCAAGGTTTTGTGTTATTTTAAGCTTTAAAAGTCCAGCAATAAAGGAAGTAAGGGGAAAGAGAGAGGGAGTTAAGGTTTTTCTACCATCACCATTTTACAAAAAAAACAAAACAAAACAACACTGGTTCAACCACATGGGAAGAAGCGAAGTCAAATCTGCGTATGTAGCCCAGCAATATAAGAGCAGTCAGGTCACAGCTGACTAAATGGTTCTTAAAGGGACTCCTGACTCTACCTACAAGGCCTGATCTCTCATCAACCTGGGCTCCTGACAAAGTTCCTTTGTATTTGTTTCAGAAGGCCAAAGTTTTATCTGGAACAAGCTCACGCCAAAAAATGCTCACGTTGCTGGTTTTAACAGGTCATGGAGTCAGCCATATGTGGCTCCTAAAAGACTCCACCATTTCTTAGGATGAGGTTCTACTGATTAGGGGATTTAAATTCAAGCAAACCACTAAAGAGGGAAATATTAATGATATCTTGACATAAACAAGCTGAGTGCTTGTCTTCTCTGTCAAGGAAATAGGGTAGGCTTGGCTTTGCTTCTTAACTTCATGATCTCCATGAAGAGGAACTGGGACCTCCGTCACAAAGGAAGAGGCTGCCCAGAATTCTCATCCCAGCCCGCTTCCAAAAGAAACAGCAGACTCCCAGGGGCTATTATTAGGAACTGTGCTCCTGTAAATGTTGTGGAAATGATAGTCTGTTTCAGTTCATGCCAAGTTTTTTCATGGTCCGCCAGCGATCCTTAATCATCACAGCTGTTCGGTTAACAAATGGGTAATTTTTGGAAATGGCAGCCCAGTTTCCTTCTCCGTATTTCTGCACTCCAACCTTGATCCACTCACTTTCTTCTACAGTCCACTTCTACAAAGGAAAAATCAAGACTCAGCACAGCCTGTCCGCCCACTCAGTCACAGAGAAAAGTAATCCCAGAGAGTCCAAAAGAAGAGTACCTCTAAAACATGATAGAGATAATATACAAAGCCGTAGATGGGGTGCTTGCATGATCCTCAACTAACCATCACTTCTGAGTTCTAAACCAACAAATGTGTGATGTTTATGGTTGAGAAAGTATATCAGGTTTTTGTCATAGACTTGTCTTCTATATAATAATAACTATTTACATAAGCTCTGGTTATATGAAAATCCCAAAACAGACTTTTGGTAGGTACATGGGTACGCGGTGTCTCTGAGAAGTAGGGACTTTACCTCATTCTACCCACATGTCAAAAGAGAGAAATTGAAATTACCTGTCTTTTTGCAATGCTGGTTATAGTCTCTTCCTCTGGTGCTGCTTACCAAAAAAAGACATGAAAAGCAGACTCATTACAGAGTTCCTAGTTCTGCACAAACCACAAAGAAAGACAAAGCATGTTCCCAAAGGAAAAACAATTCAAATTTCACAAATACTGATAAGAGAAATGATACAACCAAAGGATAATTAATTTTTCCCTTTAATTTACAAAACAAGTTATTTTACCCCATGAGAACCCACAGAAAGCAAGTGCTTTATAACCAGCTGTTTAATGAATGTGCTATGGATTTCAAAGGAGCAATGGTGCTAGACTGCTAATCAAAAGGTCAGTGATCCAAACCCACCAGCTACGCTGTGAGATAAAGCTGTGGCTGTCTGTCTCCATAAAGAAGACAGCTTTGACAACCCTACAGGTTTTCATTTCTTTAGCAAAACCAACATTTTCTAAAATTACCAATGCTGTTGTTAAGTACCATTGAGTTGGTTCCAACTCGTAGCAACCCTTTTTAGGAATTTCAAAGAGTAACTGGTGAGAAAATTATCATAGGACTGTGATATTTAAAACTGGTGTGTACTTTTTGTATTTTATTAAGTGCCGTCAAGTCAATTCAGACCCATAGCGACCCCTATATAGGGTTTCTGAGGAGCAGCTGGTGAGCTTGAACCACCAACCTTACAGTTCAAATGGCATTGCAGTCTGACGCATTAGCTCACAGCGCCACACCAGGACTCCAATTTCTGTGTAGGACTGTGGTATTTAAAACCTTTTGTGTGTAATTTCTGCTTGCTAACAGCAATGGTTACATAGGCTAAGCATGATGTGAACCACAAGGTCAGCGGTTGGAGCTCAGTAGCCGCTCCGCAGGATAAAGATAAAACTTACTGCTTCCTGCAAGATTTTAAACCTCTGAAACCCTGTACTGGGTTGCTGTGAGCTGAAACTGACTCCATGGCACTTAGCAGCAAAACTACTTTGAAATCATAGCTTTATTTTGTCTTTGATCATTTTACACAAGTGCCCTTTGCCTAAGAGTTCCCTGGTATAGCACTGTAGGATCAGCATTGGACTGCAAAATATGAGGTTTGTGGTTCAACCCAGCAGTTGCTCTTCAGAAACCCTATACAGGGTCACTACGAGTCAAAACTGACTCCATAACACTTAACAACAACAAAAGAAAGGGGCAGTTATTGCCTCCCCTTTCCATGGAACATGCAAGGTCTGCTCAAGCTCCATCCTCTCCTGTGGATATGAAAGCAGGTTTCAAAAAACATCTATCAAGATGATTTTTTGAAAGGCTAGTGATTATAGCTGAGTATACAAGTATAAAAGATACACCATTTCAAGCCAACAAGCAATGGTTTAAAAATTACAAGAAAAGTTAAAGTTGCATAAGCATGAAACTTGCCAGAGTGTCAGGGAAAGAATATTTTTAAATAATAAAGTATATCACATTATATATTAAAGATTTCTAACAGTGACAAATCTGGGCTACCCTGCAAGTGGCTATTTCTAGAACTTTGAGATGGTCCTGATTTTAGATGTCTGCCTTTTTTTTTTTTTTTTTTAACTGTCCATTTTCTGATTTTGATCTTGTCTTCCGTGTTTTTGCCAGTGAAGTTTCTTTTCAGGGACATAACCTTTGGGAATGGCAAGCGGTCACCATGTTGTTGTGTGCTCGTTCTAACTCACAGCAACACCCTATTGAACAGAATAAAGCGCTGCTCTATCCTCACAACTGCTACTGTTTGACTCACTGTTGCAGTCACTGTGTCAATCCATCTAATTGAGATTCTGCCTCTTTTTCACTGATCCTCTACTTTACCGAGCATGATGTCCTTCTCCAGGGATTGGTCTCCTGATAACATGTCCAGAATAAATGAGACAAAGTCACACCACCCTCCCTTTTAAGGAACATCCTGGCGATACTTATCCCAAGGCAGATCTGTTCATTTTTATGGCAGTCCATGGTATATTTTTTGTCTTTCACCAAATAAAATCAACAGCTAACATTAGTCTCAAATGAAAGCATTTCCTTTATGAATGAGAATAAGACAAGGATATCCTTTATCACCACTCCTATTCAGTATTGTGCTGGAATCTTGGTCAAAGCTATAAGGCAAGAAAAAACAAAAACATCCAAATTGGCAGAGAAGAAGTAAAACACTCTTACTTCCAGCTGATATGATCCTATATATAGGAAATCGCAGACTAAGCAAGAAATTTATGGAACTATCTTAATTCAACAAAGTGGCAGGGTACAAGATCAACATACAAAAATCAGTCATATTCTTTAACACAGATTCCTTTAAAACACTGAAATGGAAATCAGGAAAACAATACCATTTAGAATAGCCACCCAAAAGATGAAATGCTTAGGATTAAATCTAACCAGAGAAACAAACGTCTTAGGAAACTGCAAAAAGCCAACAGAACTACATAAATGAAAGAATGACTATATGATGCTCACAGAGAAGACTAAACATTGTGAAAATGTCAGCACTATCCAAAGTGATACAAGCCTGATGTAGATTCAAATACTGTTCTTTTGCATGGAAAGGAAAGATACCTCGGATAAGCTAAGCACTACTAAAGAAGAACAAAGTAGAAGACCTCAAACTTCCTGATCTCAAAATCTACTATACACTCTCAGAGTCAAAACAACTTGGTACTGGTACAACAACAGGCACAAAGGTCAATGGAACAGAATTGAGAACACAGAAGTAAATCTGTTCACCTATGGACAGTGAGTGATCTTTGTCAAAGGGCCAAAACACAATAAATGAGGAAGAGAGTCTCTTAACAAATAGTGCTGGTAACACTGAATATTCAACTGCGGGGGAATGAAGCAAGATCCTTATCTCACAACACACATAAAAATGGATGGATCAAAGGCCTAAATATACAACTTTATAAAGACCATCAATGAGAAAAATACGGCCAAGTTTAAGGGTCATATTGTTAGGTGCTGAGTCCACTTCAAATCATAGTGACTCTGCACAAGAGAACAAAACACTGGTTTTGTGCCATCCTCACAAATGCCATGTTACAGCCCATTGATGAATCTATTATGTCAATTCATTTCATTGGGGAATTTTCCTCTTTTTCAATTCCTCTCTCTTTTGAGAAGCATGATGTCTTTTTCTAGGCGCACACGTCCAAAGTCTGTGATGTCGTGTCACCAGTCTCGCTTCCAAGGAGCATTCTGACTACTTCTTTCAAGGCAAGTCTAGTTCTTTTGGTAGTCCATAATACTCCCATCCAGTATTATTTGCCAACACTTTATATTCTAATGCATTGATTCTTCTCTGGTCTTCCTTAATCACTGTTCAGCTTTCGCATGCTTATAAGGCAGCTGACAACAACATTTGGATAGTCTTCAGCCTGACATCTTCATTCTTTAAACTTCAAACAGATGTAGTACATTGTTAGATTTCTTGAGTGCTGCTTCCTTCAGTGTTGATTATGGATCCAAGTAAAATGAAATCTTTAACAACCTCAATCTTTTCTCCATTTATTATGATGTTACTTATTGGTCCATTGTGAAACTTTTGCTTTCTTTACACTGAGATGCAATCCATACTGAAGGCTGTATTTGAGTATTTCAGGTCTTCTTTGCTTCCCATAAGCAAGCTTTTGCTATCTGCGTATTACAAGTTCTTGAATTTTCCTCCAATCCTGGTAACGCGTTCTTCATATAACCAGTTTCTCAGATTATTTGCTCAGCATACAGACTAAGTATGGTAAAAGGATACAACCCTGATGCACATCTTTCCTGATTAAACCATTCAGTATCTTGGTCTATGTACAGGTTCCTCATGAGTACAATTAAGTATTCTGGAATTACCATTCTTTTCAATGTTATACATAATTTGCTATGATCCACACAGGTGGATGCCTCTGCACAGTCAATAAAATACAAGTAAAGCTCCCTGCTACAACCATTTTTTAATCATCTTCAGTAAAATTTACCTGCATTTAGGGTACATGGCATAAATACACTATCAAGGATATCTGAAAACTGCTATCAAAACAGCAGAAGACAAACTAGATGAAGACCTTCTAAAAATCTTTATGTGCACCAGAAGATTTTATCAAAAGAGTGAAAACAGAACCTAAAGACTCGGGAAAGCATTTGGGCATACTGGACGAGTCACTAATCTCTAAATTTTATTTAAAACTACAGCATCTCAACAACAAAAGAATAACCTAATTAAAAAATGGGCAAAGGATTTGAATACTTCACTAAAGAAAACATTCAGGCAGCCAGCAAACATGAAAAAATGCTAATGATTATTTGCCATTGTTGTTGTTGTTAGGTGCCATCGAGTCGGAACCGACTAATAGCGAGCGACCCCATGGACAGCAGAATGAAGCTGTCTGATCCTGGGCCAACCTCACTACCGCTGCCACACTTGAGTCCATCAATGCTGCCACCTAGCCAGTCCATCTCGTTGGAGGTCTTCCTCTTTTTCTCTGACCCTCCACCTTACCAAGCATGATATCCTTCTCCAGTGACTGGTCCCTCCTGACAATATGTCCGAAGTATGAGACATGGCTGTACTTCTTCCAACGTAGATGTGTCGATTCTTTTGGCAGCCCACAGCACTTTCAATATTCTCCTCCAAAACCATTGTTGTTAGGCGCCATCAAGTCAGTACCGACTGAAAGCAGCCCTATGCACAACAGAACGAAAGACTGCATATGTATATAAGGCAACTGAAAATACCATGGCTTGGGCCAGGAACACCTTATTCCTCATAGTGATATCACTGCTTTTTAATACTTAGAAGTCTTTTTGCAGCAGATTTGTCCAATGTAGTACATCATTTAATTTCTTGAATGCTGCTTTCTTGGGCAGATTGTGGATCCAAATAAAATCCTTGACAACATGCCTATTTTCTTCATTTATCATGATGCTGCTTCTTGGGCCAGCTGTTAAGGATTTTATGTTGAACTATATATAGCCGCTACAGAAGGCTGTAGTCTTTAATTGTCATCATTGAATACTTCAAAACCTCTTCACTTTCAGTAAGCAGAGTTGTGTTATCTGTATTGTTGCAGGTTGTTAATGATGCCATGCTCTTATTCATTTCAGCTTCTTAAATAATTTGGCCACAGATATAATAAACTGAAAGAATACAAGTCTGACGCCCACATTCCTGATTTCAAACCCTGCAATATACCCACATTCCATATGAACAACTACCTTGCGGTGTAGTTTCTACTTGAACACAACGAAGTATTCTGAAATCCTTGTTCTTTGTAGTTTTACCCATAATTTGGTGTGACTGACACAGTGGAATGCTTTTTCAATCAATGAAGAACAAGTATATGTCTTTCTGGTATTCTCTCTCTGCTTTTAGCCAAAATCCATCTAACAGCAGCAATGACAGACTTCGTTCCACATTTTCTTCTGAATGTGGCATATTGGAAACGATTTGACAGCACTTAACAATATGTGACAGTAACATGCACGTATACGAGAAGCTAAGAATTTTCTAGCTTACCCTGAACTTGAAATAGTTCGTCCTCTTCCAGCCAAGTGTCTTTTTCTTCAACCCCATTAGAGTTGGTCCATTTGCCTGCTGGTACTCTGAGGGGAGAGCCACAAGAAGACATGGTATAAAACAAACTCATCCTGAGTCCTTGACTTATACTCCTCCAACTTGCTGTGACCATACTCAGGGTTCACCAACACACAACTCCCCAAAATCCAGTGCTCTTTTCCCAAAGCTGGCTAGACAGCCCGACGAATGCAGGACCATCCAGCAAACTCAACACTGAATACATCACTGGCCGCTCAAAATTTTTTTTTGTTGTTTTAAATTCTTTTACAAGTCTCGGCATCCATCTACCTTAGAAACTGGAGTTGCTAATCCCTTTTGCTTCACAGACCTACACTATGTCTCCAGACTGATCTTTCCTTTCCATTCCCCTAGTTCAAGCCCATGCTTTTAACCATTATTAAGCTAGGCCTTCAGCTACCACTAAAACTCCTTTCCCTTCCAAAGGCACCAGAACAACTATACTAAAAGCACATCCCTCTATTCTATGATGGTTTCCCCTTGCCTGAGGAATGAAGTCTATGGGAGAATTAAGACCATTCAGTCAATTTCCCACCAATGAAGCTCTTCTTCCCATAACTATTCCATCACACCCTTTGCAGCTGCCTGGCTTTTCTTCTTTGTTCTTCAGTAAGCTCTGCACTTTGCTGCTGCTCTCTATACTTGGGATTCCCTTCCTTGCCATGTTTCAAGGTCATCAGTCTGAATGACACCTTCCCTAACTACTCCAGCACACACACAGTCCCTACAACGTAAGAATTATACTTTCACAAACTTCATAGTGTACACTCCTAACCATAAACTTGCTGAAGGCAGCGGCCATTATCTTCACCTGTCTACTTTAAACAGAGTCACATAAGATACCCAAAAAGGAGCTGGACAAACATTAGTTAAACTAAGGCTGGAAGTATAAAAACTGGAAAGGATCATACCATCAAAGATTAGAATAATTAGCAAACAAGAAAACTTCCTGTTAATAGGAGATGTTAAATTCTTTGGTATAGTCAAAAAAGTCCCAAAGCATGAAAAAGCCTGAAACCAAATTATTTTTAAAAATTTAAACTATATAACTTATCTATTCTACACAACTTCAACCTTGTTTACTTGATTAATGTCTCTGAACCCTAAACAACACCTAGGCAACTTCCTTGGGGATAGGAACACAGCACAAATTAGACCTCAGAATTTTTATATATAGCATTAATCTGAATTTATGTATTTTATAGTGACCAACTGTAAAAGTTGCCTGAGAATAGACAAAACGTCTGTCCAACCCTAGGAAATGTAAGATTGTAAGAATTTTGCAAATAAGTAATGAGAGCAATTTGTTTTACCAGTACATAGGCTGGGCTTTAAAAAAGTGACCTCAGCTCCAAGTAGCTGAGATAAATGGTAGACTTTACATTTTTATTTTTAAATTGAGTCATATCCCCAAAATGTTATTTCTGAAAGTAATTTGCGAGAAAGTGGGTGGGGGGAGAGGTCTACTTCTAAATACTAGGGGTCTTATAAGTTTTTGGAACTCCATCTATTCCATTTTTCCACTAACTTGTTGAAATCCCTTAGTAAAGGTCAGATTGAGTTATAGTTTTAAGTTTCTACCTGCTTATCCAGAGTCCTGGTGTGGCACTGTGGGTTAATACACTGGGCTGCAGTCAGTTTGAACTGCAAGGTCAGTAGTTCAAGCTCACCAGCTGCTCCTAGGAAACCCTACACAAGGTCACTATAGGTCAGAACCAGCTGGACTGCACTTAACAATGTACCTATCCAAGTGGTGGGAAAAAACTTGATTGTAACTTGTATCCTATAGTTAGTAGCTATCCTCTTCCTGTGTGTCTTCAGAGATCACTTGTTACCACTCTTCTCTTCAGAACTCAGCAGCGGTTCTAATACTTACTTGATACTTACTACTCAAATCTTTCACGTGACAGTGTTGCCATTACTGCCTTCTGTTGTTAAGTGACACTGATACAGTTCTGACTCAGTTTCCAAGGAGTGCTGGTGAGCTGGAACTGCCAACCTTGCAATCCAACACATTAACCCACAGCGCCAAACCAGGATTCTGTCTGGTATAGGCCTGAAATCTAAGTTCTAATCTTTGTGATCTCTATAATCCTGGGCAAGTCCATGGTCCTAAACTAACATTCTTCACTGGTCAAGTTAGAACTGATGAGCAACAGCCCAGCAGGGGTTGGCAAACTACAGCTTGTGACTGGCTGTTTTTAAATATCTTGAACTAAGAATGGTTTGTGTGTTTTTGAAGGATTAAAAAAGAGTATAGGATAAAGACCTCATGTGGCAAAATCCTCAGACTTTTACAGATGTTTTAGGAGTCATCCCTTAAACTGGAAGAACCAACTTATTACTTGGTTATTAAGTGCTGTAGAGTCAGCTCTGACTCATAGCAACCCTGTATAGGGTCCCTGAGGAGCAACTGTTTGGTTTGAACTGCCAACCTTGTGGTTTACCATCCAGTGCTGATGCTACAGTGCCACACCAGGAGCCTATTATTTACTTAATATCTATTTCATTTTTGCCATGTGCAAGGTGTTGTGGAGGATGTAAAATGCTTAGTTGTGTTTGCTGCCCTCTAAGTGATAGGCCTTTACCCTACCTTTCCCAAGCCTGAGTCCACCTCAGCGGACTTCTTATAGGACCTCACTCCTCACCTGGCATTTATATCCAGCCACCCTGGCTCCCCCTAATAAAACGCAGATGTCATTGCCTGTTCAAAGCCCTTAGTGACACCTAGCACACACATGCAAGAGAACAGGGCCCCAAACAACTACCACAGAGCAGTGACATAAATAACTACAGCTCTGGGAGTCCAGCAAGGTGGACCACTTACAGTAGAAGTCACCAGGGAAGCATTTGTGGCTGTAGAATTTTAAGAGAAGGCAAGTTGGTATGTGTACTATACAGGACATGGCCTTTTGTGACATAACTGACTTGGATTTAAAAACCCCCAACCCAATTTTGCTTCTTTTCAGCTGTATTTTAGACTTCAGGCAAATTATTAGTTTTCTGAGCCTTTTTGATCTAGAAACTGGGGCAAACGTATCACCTCACAGCATGAGGATTATATGTTATAGAGATTGCATAATCTATGAAAGTGCTTGGCCCACAGAACACACTCCATCAACATCAGCTTCTCTTCTCTCTGGAGGACGAATGGGAGGGAATCTGATAAGTAATGATGGAGAGATGATAGTCCAGTGAGAGAAAGCCAAAGTCCAGTAGTAGAAACCAACAGTGTTCCAGAGAGAGGAGCCACAACAGAGAGGTAGGGAACAAAATTCAAAATGAGTTTGGGGTCATATTCTGGGGAACAAAATTAAAGCATTCTAACCATTGCCCCATAGTACCTAGCAGAGCGTAGATTAGTAAAAGATTCAAAACAAACATCCATGTCTTTTAAGAGTCAAAGTGTAATATACCCAATTAAAACAATTTAACAAACAAGACTAATATTTAGTAGTTGAAGCACTCAGAAGTCTCCTAAAATAAAGGAGCAGGAGGCTGAACCCCTTCACGCCCTAGTGCAATGCCAGAAGCCCATATGTGGGGCTTCAGAACTGGCAGGGATGGCTGTCATCACTCCCATTCCTGAGTCACATTCTAGCAGTCTGAGCAAGCCTTGGTAGTAAGCAATTTAGCTGATAGTTACTTCATTCACAGAAGCAATAATTAGGCCCAAGCAGGGCCAAAAACCAGCCCTAAAATGGCAACAAAGAAGGTCTTCATACTTGAGAGTCTTCTCCCTGGTGAGAGGCTGGTTGAGAGCGGTGGACTTGGTTAGTGGCACTGGAACAACCTCTTGGGAACTGTTGAGGGCTGTACTGGGCTGGGTACTCTGGCTATCCTCCTCCAAAACCAATCTGCTTATTGTCATGCGCTTGGCCTTGGGCTGCAGTTCAGAGTCACCCTCAGTAGTGGCTGAGCTGTCTTCATGTTTTCTCTGTCTTTTGTTTTTGAATGCTTGGGATGATTGGGATGCTTGGTTAGGAAGTACCAAATCCTTCTGGTCCAGTTTTGAGAAGGCTGCCTCAGTATCCTTTACACTGGACAGAGCCTTGAAAGCTGCCTTCAGAGTCATAAACCCAATAGTGGGTGTTGGAGTATTCTGTAGCTGTCTAAAAAGAAAACACACACATAAAGATTAATTTAACCACTTGATGTTCATCCATCCAAACAACCACAACTTCTTCAAAGTTTGAAGCTTCAACTTAGAAGACTTGAGCAATATCCATTTTAAAAAAAGAAAAAGTAAAAGTTCATTCAATTTCACATTTATATATACTCCTATCATAATAAGTGTATGTAGATACTTTAATTATGATACATGAGGGACTTCAAAAAGTTCATGGAAAAATGGAATGAAAAGATAAAAAATACAAACTTTATTTTTCAACATAAGTTCGATCAAGGTCAAGACCCTTTTGTAAGTGATAATTCAGCCATTTAATCCACTTCTAAGTAACTGAAGGGCCTGGGAATTTAACCATGTCAATGCACTCTTTTTCACACTATTATGTGAAGAAAAATGGGTTCCCTTTAATATAAGGAAACAAAAAGAGTCAGCAGGAGATAAATCAGGACGGTTAGGTGAGTTCCCATTGACTCTCTCCCAAAACTCACCCTGGCTTGATGAGAGGAGTGAGCAGAAACATTGTCCTGATGATGAAGGACTCTCTGGTGAAGGCTCTGGGTGTTTTTCTACTAAAGCTTTGGATAAATGTTCTCAAAGGACTCTCATAAAACACTGATTACTTCTTTGTCCAAACAAAAACTCGACAAGCAAAAATGTCTTGTTTTTGTTGTTCTGTGCCATCATGTTGGCATCCCAAAAAACTGTTGTAATCACCTATGCTCTTGACCAGTCTGTTTCTGCTTTGATTGGACCACTTCCACATCTTGGTAGTTTCTGCTTTGATTGTGCTTTGTCTTCAGGATCATAATGTTAGAACTGTGTCTCATCTCCAGTTACAGTTCTTTCAAGAAAATCTTCAGGATTAAGATCTTGTTTAAAATTTCTATTCAGTGTTCTGCTCTTGTCTGCAGCAGATATGGGTGCAACAGTTTTGCACCCATCAAGCAGAAAGTTTGCTCATCTTTATTCAGACAGAAGTAGGTAAGCTCATCAACTAAGATGGCTATGATGTTGGCTACTGTTTCTACTATTAATCTTCAGTCCTCTTCAGTGAGGGCACAAACAAGATTGTTTCCTCACAAATTGATGTGGTCTGCCTCTGCTTGCTCTATCATCACTGATCCATTCTTAAAACACAAGCTTATCCATTTATAAACTGCTGATCTCTTTGAGGACTGTCTCCATAAACTTTCCATAAAGCATCAATGACTTCATCATTCTTCCAACCAAGCTTCAGCATAAATTTTATGTTTGTTTTTGTGTCGATTTTAACAGAACTTATGTTGTTCTGATATGGCCTCTTTTCAAACTGATGTCTTACCCTTCTTAATTCTTCAAACTAGATCCTATTCAGACATGTTATAACTAGTTAATACAAGTTTATTTTGGTACAGAGAATTTTGAAATCCACGAGTAGTTCTTTCATAATACGCATTTCCCATGAACTTTTTGAAGACCAACATTTTGTATAAGTTGGATTACAGAGTTTAAATTCTAAGCCAGAGGAATTTAAAGGAACCATATAGGCAGTGCTATTCCTTCCAGAGACCTCCTTAGTCTGTGTTAGTCTAACATTTTAAAACACTGTTTTCTACTATGTAAGAACTCTAAATAGTGCTGAGTAACTGTAACTCCACTTGGGTTACCAACTGATCATCCAGCAATTTCACATATTCCTTCAGCTGCACCTATCCAACCTTTGTGTGACAGAAGTGAAAGACTGGTCTCACACTCTGTCCCTTGCTCCTACAGCACACTTAGGAATGGGATCTTGAGAATTTTGAGTTAAGAAGCATGTGACACAGTCTTGGAACAATAAAGTATCATTTGAAACAATTAACATGCTTTTAAAGGAGCCCTGGTGGTGGATATCAAGAGCTCGGTTGGTAATTAAAAGTTTAACCCACCAGCTGGCTCCATGAGACACAGAAGAGGCTGTCTGCTTTAGCAATTGGTCTTGGGGATCTCACGGATCTGAATACTGCGTCCAGAAAATAGATCCAACAAGAAAGTATTGAATAGGTGATACCAGAGAAGCAAGAAAACAGAAAGAAAAGGAATTCTGAGCAATAGCTAGTCAGGAACTTCTCTCAGAGATCCTAGCCATCCCATCTTCAATGTTCTCATGTTCCCAAGGTGTGTACTCTATCTCCCAGAGTCTTGTACAAGTAACTCAGTAAAAAATATCTGTCACTTAGCTGAGTCACTGAGATAAATTAATCCAACTCTTAAGATCATTACACTTTCAAGTGACTACTTCAAATCTTTAAGTGTTTCACCCAAGATTCCAAAAAGCGGAGAACAAACAAGATGGCAGATCAGGTAGAAGTCCAATGAGGAGCTCCATCAGCAACAACACAGAATACCGGACTAAGCAGACTCAGGGGATGGTGCCAGAACTCTGTACCACATATAAAGAAATAGTTACAAGGTTGGAAGGCCTATAGCTAGGGAAACTTGTAGCAGAAGCAAGAAATCCATAGCTTTCTAATCCTAGATGCCCAGCTGCTCCTGGAGCCACCATCTTGGGCGAGACCAAGCAGGGAAGGATCAGAGCAGCCAAAGACGCCTGACAGAACAATGGAGACAAAGGAGTGGGCACTCTACACTTTGTATCTGTTCATTGGTCTCTCCTGTCTGTGCACCTCCATTCTGGTGACTAGAAGGGGTGCCTGAACAAGTGGACACCCCACCCCCGGAGGGTTCTACTATTCATGTACACAGATGGCCTCGAAATTTAAAGTGACAGTTTCCACTTAAAAGCAAACAGCAGTGCAAAATGGCCACAGCCAGTGCAGAACTGTTCATCACTAGGAAAAAGGCCTGAATGAGGATTGTGGAGCCGGACAGGCAGACTGACTAAAAAGGAAACAGGCCGAAAATTAGATCCAGAGTTACATCACAACAACCAACAGTAGCATCCAGAAATTTCTCAGGAGGAAGAGTAAAAAGGGAAGCCCATCTCCTTATCACATCTACATGGAGGCAATCAGAAAACATAAAAAATACCAAAATACACACCCATCTAAGTATTATAGCCACAGATAACCCCTGAATATGTCCAAAAAACAGAAGCAGATGACCATATCAGCACATGTCCAGAAATGAGATAAAGTGACTAAGGCAAATGAGCTGGAAGTAGAACTACACTCCATACAGGAAGATGAGCAGGCTTTGGAAATGCCTGAGAAGGAATTCAGAAAAATTATTATAAAATGTATCAAAAAACCATACAATGGAGTTGAGAAAAATAAGGAAGAAGTCAGGAAAGAGCTACAGGAACAATCAAATAAGATAGATACAGCTTTGGAAACAATTCTAAATGTACAGAAAGAGGTCCCAAACAATTAATAACTGAATATCAGTAATGGACAATACATTGAAAATGTAGAATAGAAGAGATAAAAGTCAGAACTAGTGAGCTAGAAGATAAATCTCTCAACATTACTAAGATAAAAGAGCAAGCACAAGGATTAAAAATATATATATATGCAGAAGGCCTAAGATTCATGTTGGACAACATGAAGAGGAATAACTTAAGACAGCATTCTGGAACACGAAGAATCACACAAGTTCACAGAGGAGATAGTTGAAGAGCTTCTGGAAGACAATTTCCCTAACATCCTGAAAAACGCAAAAATAAGCATTCAAGCACCTCAATGAACCCCACCAGAAAGGGCAGACCCTAAAAGAAAATCACCAAGATTTCCAAAATCAAAGATAAGGACAGAATCCTGAAAGCAGCTAGGGAAAAGAGAATGTAACATACAAAGGCAAGCAAATCAGATTAACCTCTGATTTCTCAGCAGAAACAATGCAGGCAAGAAGGCAGTGGGGAGACATATATGAAACCCTGACAGAAAAAAGAATGACAGTCAAGAATCCTCTACCCAGCAAAGCTGTCAATCAAATACGAGGGTGTAATCAAAATATTCCAGGATAAACAGAAGCTAAGGGATTTTGCCAAAGCTAACCCTGCTGTGAAAAACATCCTAAAGGAAGTTCTGTGGACTGAGAACCAACAAGAACAGACAACAACCAGAGAATGATGTACGTGGTAGCATAATCCTGAACTCAATCGATAAATGGAAGAGTCAATAACAGAACAAAATTATAAGAACAGAAGATCTGGGAGGTCAGTCTCTGATCAAAACAATTACAATGTGCAAGAAGTTAACACAGAGGAACACAGATCCAGGTGATGAGAAGGTCAGGTAGATTATAGGATTTGTTGTTGTTAAGTGCCGTCGAGTCGGTTACGACCCATAGCGACCCTGTACAGGGTTTCCGAGGGTGTAAATCTTTACGGGAGTAGAAAGCCTCATCTTTCTCCCGTGGAGCGGCTGGTAGTTTCGAACCGCTTGACCTTAAGGTTTGCAGCCCGATTTGTAGCCACTATGCTACCAGAGCGTTTTAAATGCAGGGAAAAGTTAATGGAATATAAAGTGACAACAACAGTGGGGTTGGGGTGGGGGTTTAGTTTGGGTGTTGGGGAGGGCAATACAAGAAGGAGGAGGAGATGGAAGAACAAGACAGATAGGGGAACACTGAGACAGGTTTGCATGGCCTAAATGGGACAGAGGTAAATAATGATGCAGCTCAACCTTGGAACAACAAGGCTCTGTGATACGTGATCTAGGCATGGTTTGAAAATAATACTAAAATGCTTTACTGTCATATGAATCTTCGCTTCCCTTGAGTGGGACAGAAGGGAATGCTGGGAAACATGATTACAGAAGACTTGTAAGCCTGTCTTCAGCCTATAACTGATTGGAATACCTAAAAGGGGTTCTAGAACTTGCCCAGTGAAATAGGCCTCTTGCAAAGCCTTTGCAGAGTATAGGACCTTAGGTAGAAACTTGAATCCCATCCAGAACCTTATGAGGTAGAATATTCCCACTAACAAGGACAGCTTGAAACAGCTAAAGCAACAGAATATACATCTTGAAAGAAAGATCATCAGGAAAAAAAACAAAACAAAAATGTCAACATGACTGGCTACTACAAGAATAAGCAAGCTGTTCGTCAGGAAGCCATTAAGGTAAGAAATCAAGTTCCTTCAGGACAAACTCCCCTCTAAGACTGAAACTCAAAGGGAACACATAAACAGGCAGGTAAGCTTGCTGGTGACCACATTGGTCTACTGGTGAGTGGAAGATGGGGAAAGGCAGCAATGAAGAAATGGGCTGAGTTCAACCACAGTTCATTGACCCCCATTGACCTGGAGATAAGAGAGAGAAGAAGAAGGGCTGGTTGGTCCAAAGTGTGGTGAGACCTGGGGACACCTGAAACTGTGGACAATGACATAGCCACAGAGGGCTAGAGCTGAGAGTGAAGCATCCAGCTGATATGAAATGAGGGGAGATGCACAAGAACACCCAAATCTGCAGATAGTACCCATTTGACCTAGCCTCAATGGCTTGATTATCAGAACTCAACTACAGGAGGATTAAAAAAATAAAACAATTTTTGATAAAAGAAACAAGGGTAAATTGCTACAATTTGATGAACCTGACCTATACTTGTGGCGGTAGTAACTCTAAATACCAACAGAGAGGGAAGGAGTCTTCATATCAAGTATCAATCCTATCCCCTCTATACACAGGGTAGATAGGGACGGGCAACTTAGACATTGGCTACCTAAAATAAGGGGGCGATAAAGGCACAAAGTGACTGGCTTACAACGTTTCAAGAGGGAGTTCAGTTTAAGAGTTTTGGGGGTAAGAAAGAGTCCCCACTGAATAGTTTTCATCTTGGCTAGATGGGTCTGGTGAAAAGAGATGGGGATAAGATTTGTATGATTCAATAGTGAATAACTCTTATGACTATTTGGGACTGTCACAATTGTAAAGGTAGATTTGTAAAAATCGGGGCGTGGTTAATCTTACAGTCCAGAAACAGAGGACCCTAGGACCATCAAGGGAAAAAGCACAAGCAGAATGCAGGATTTTATCCAGAAAAGCAGGAACGCCAGAGACAGAGGAAGAGATGGGGACATAGAGGGAGCGGCTATGGACTCTAGATTCACGGGAAGAGAGGGACGAATATCCGGTGGCCAGGAGGCAGACTTGCAGAATGTGTCCTTTGGTGGTGTAAATTATTATATATGCCTGAGTGTTTTTGTTTTGTTTTAAAAAGAGCTAAAGTGAATAGAAATACTGTTAATTGATGACACATGGACGGAATTATAATTATAATCATTATAATGAAACAAGGTGTATGATTTGTTGAATGTAAAACTGATAATCTGCCCTGTAAACTTTCATTCAATCCACAACAAAAACCTTAAAAAAAAAAAAAGCCACCATTCTCACTTCCGAGGAACAATCTCTGCCCATATTTCTTCCAAAGAAAGAGTTGTTTCTTCTGGAAATCCATGGTTTATTCAATATTCTTCACCAACACCACAATTCAAATGCATCAATTCTTCTCTGATGTTCCTTATTCATTGTCTATCTTACATATGCATATTTGTTGTTGTTGTTAAGAAGTGTGGAGTCGGTTCTGACACATAACGGACCTGTATAGGATTTTCAAGGCTATATATCTTTACAGGAGCAGAAAGTTTCATCTTTCTCCAGTGGAGCAGCTGGTGGGCTCAAATCAATGGCCTCACATGTATATTAGGTGATTGAAAATACCATGGCTTCAATCAGCTGCACCCTGGTGCTCAAATTGGTATTTTTGCTCTTTATACCCAGATGCACTCCTTTCCTGATTTTAAGCCATTCAATACCTCCTTGTTCTATTCAAACAACTGCCTCTTGGTCTATGTATAGGTTCCTCATGAGAACAATTAAGTGTTCTGGAATTAGCATTCTTAAAAATGTTATCGGTTTCTTATGATGGCATTAGATAGAAGCATGGAAAATTTACTTACGGTAAAATATGGATTCAGATGCTGATAAGTGGGCAGATGTCATAAGGATTGTTTATGGACTTCCCCTTATGATTATAGCAATTTCTCACATATGTTGAGCATCTATTGAATGCACATGAGTTCTGGGTAGCACAAATGGTTAAGTACTCAACTACTAACCAAAGAGTTGCTAGTTTGAATCCACAGAGACATTTTAGAAGAAAGGTCTGAGTATCTTCTTCCAAAAGGTTACAACAATCTAAACCCTATAGAGTGTGTTTCGCTTCTCCACATGTGAGGTCTCCATATGAGTTAGATCAACATAAAGGTAACTGGTTGGTTGTTGTTGCCATTATTGTTTAGTTCCATCCAGTTGCTTCTGACTCATAGCAACCATGTATAGAGTTTCTGAAGAGCACCTTGTGGTTCATAATCCAGTGCTGATCCTAGGGTACCCATTAGGTCATTATAACCAGATTCTATACATCTTTGCTGTGACTTTGCCTCACTGGTATAATAATAATGCAAGAACATTTAGATAGATCTAGACTAGACCACAAGATAGAGAAAAAAGGTCACTAGTAGTTGCCAGGTGTAAGTGAGAGAAGTTAGGTTTTGAGTTGCCTGAGGAGTACTGAGTTTGGTTAAGGATGATGAATAAAAGTGGAAATAGCATTGATTGTTGCACAATACGGCAAATGTGGTTAATGTCACGAAATTGCATATGTAAAATTGATGGAAATGTTTTGTTGCCTATATCTCACCATGTTAAAATGAAAAAAAGAATTATTTAAGGGAAAAAAAAGATTCCAAAAGGGCATTTCTCTCACCTTGTGGTTTCTCTGGGTGGCTTTTCCATAGACTCTGGAGTTGACTGTTTATCTTCCCTCACTGTGCTTGAGGCAGCAGACTCAGATTTCATAGCCTTTTTGGCCATCTTTGAAAGGAAGAATGTAATTAGCAAGAGGAGCCACAGAATTTCACTAATGCTCTGCTTTCATTATGAACATACTCAATAAGCAAACAAAATCAAATACATAAACTGCAGGCATATGCAAAAAGAAAAAGACAATTGTCTATAATTTTCTCTTTTTTACTTCCTCATAAATTAGTAACATATCCAAAAATGGTCAACAGTTTTCTCTATAAAGATCTCAATTTAACTAGTGTTAAACCATATAAACATTTCAAGAGTTCTTTAAACTTTCTGATATCCAACAATTGCAGTCTTTACTCACACATTTCCTCTTTTCTTTCATCCTACCAATCCTTATCCCTGACCCAGGGATGTATGTCTTGAATATCATGTACAAATTCAAAAGCTTCTTCCAATGTTAGGATAACTAATAAATACTTCTGTTAATGTCTTCTAGCTTGAATATAGAATTGGCAATTTTCAATGTGCTTTGCCTTAGTAATGACTCTTTGGAAATTCTTACCCTACACCATACATAAAACCCTCAGTCAGCCTAGCTCTAATGCCAAGTACTCATCTGTGGCCCTCTGATTAAGTTTTATGCATTTCTAGTCAGTCCAGTATACTCTTATTTCATATGTGTATATCTGTAATGTATGAGTTCAAGCCTCACATACTGACATGGACACATTATTTTCAGTTATCTGGAATGCAAAGGAAGGAATCCTAGCCCAGACTCAAGTATCCTGATATTTGTTCCATGAATATTCCCAAACTACCTGTATCTAGATAATTTAAGATTTGCAAAATTACTACTAGATCATTGTCATTATCCTCATATGGGCCTAGGTGATGCTACAGGCATATGAGATAGGATATTTTCAGCATTCTCAAAATCTTGGTTTTGATTTAAAAAAAACAAAAACAAAACACCCAAATCCTTTCACTCAGTGTTTCCTTATCATGGCCCGCCGTCTGTAATAAATAGCCTGGTTTCTGATTCTTCCACAGGCTGCCCAGAGCCTCACTGCTTCTGCCCTTTTTGTTTATCTTTCATCCAACTAAAGAGTATCTTCATGTGGCCTTTTGGTCTCATCACAGTTCTAGTCACCACTTTCCTCCAAGGCCTTTCCTGTTAGCAACCCTGTCATACCACATCTACTAACTTCTTCCCAAAACTCAGCTCAAATGTCATCTCCTTTGAAGAACCAGCATCAATTTTTAAGTGAATGTTTTCCCATTTTAAACACAACAAGAGTAATTGCATGCACAGGAGGCAAAAATGAAAAGGGAGTCCGGGTGTGTTCCATCTGCTCTACCAGGAACTCAGCTTCTGTATACTGAAAGCATTCGATTAAGAAAGAGAGTGACTATAATTCAAAGTCTTTTTCACACATTCAGTCTTTTCAAAAAGCTTCTGAAAATGTTTTTTCTATCCCCTGTACATGCTCAAGGCCACGTGACAGTTAAGCACAGAGATGAAAGGCTAAGCCCACCGTGAGGAGGTAGGGCTCCGACTGATCCAAGTGGCTCTCCAGGAAGCGTAGCATCTTCTGCTGGAAAATCTCGTAGGAAAAGTTCTGGATCACAGGGTGGGTCACATTCTTTTCACGGATAATGTTCAGGAGATCATTTCTCAGCTTCTACACAAAGGATCAATATTTGCAACGTGAGAAAAGAAAGCTCAGCGGAAATGCAGTGAAGACAAGTCAAGCTAGAATGCTATGAGAACTCAGCAACTCTACCACCGAAAATCACTAAGGACTGGCTCATAAACGAGTGGTTTCCCACCAAATGTTCACGGGGAAATTCTATTGTCTTTCAACTCCATTTGTTCAGAAACTTTCTGAAACCCCTTTGTATAATGATAACAGACATAATGGGTAGCATAGTAGGTTACGACTTAGGCTACCAAACATATGCCAGAAGTTTCAATCCATCAGCCACTCCCTGGGTGAAAGCTAATGCTTTCTGTTCCCATAAAGATGTACAGCCATGGAAACCCAATACAAGGTCACTATGTGTGGGAACTGACTCCACGGCACACAAACACCACCACCATGCTGTGACTGAGTCCTGCTGTGATGCTGCAGGGTTAGCACTGGACTGCTAACCACAACGCACCAACCAGCTGTCCCTTAGAAGCCCTATGCAGGGTCACTCGCTAAGAGTCGGAACCAATTTGACAGCATATAACAACAAATGTAGTGATTTTAAAAAAGGAGTCCTGGTGTGGCGCTTTAGGATAAGCACTGGACTATTAACTCAAAGGAAAGCAGTTCACACCCAGCAGCTGCTCCTCCGAAGCCCTATATATAGGGTCACTATGCGTTGAAACTAACTCAACGGCACTTAACAACAATAAAAGATTAATATAGAATGATCTCCAGTATATATTAAGTTAAAAATAATAATAAAAGGTTCAAAGCAGTGTTTAGAATAAGCTAAAACGTATATGAGAAAAGGAAAATTGGCTATATATCTGTCAATCTATATACACTTGGACTCCTGGTGTGGCATTACAGAATCAGCAATGGAATGCGAACCACAAAGTCGGTGGTTCAAACCCACAAGCTCCTCTTTAGAAACCCTGAACAGGGACACTAAGAGTCAGAATAAACTCAACTCAAGTTAACAACATACACACTCACACACATTTATTTGCTTGTACACACAAAAACTATCTTTGAAAGGACAATGGAAAAAATAACACTGATTGCCTCAGACAAGGGTAACAATATTCTACATGGCGCTAAAGGTCAGAGAAGAGTGAATTTTTCGCTCAAGTTTTGTTCCTTTTGGGTTTTGTATGATATACATGTATTAATTACCCTTCAAAACTTCAAACTTAAGCATAAATACTGACAGCTTTTCACACCAGAAAACTGGTGAGCTAGTCAGTCCTCACCAGCGCAGCTTCTCCTCAAGTTTGCAGAATCAGCACTTATGTAAACAAAGTTACAAGTGGTACAAAGTAGTTAGCTAAGTAGCTTGTGCTTACTGTTTAAATAGATGCTCTGTCACAAATCAGACAGGAATGGGGCAAAGAAAAGCTTTATGGAAATTCATCTAATGAAAACTAATCTTTGAAGCCAATTTAATTAATATGTAATCTTTGGATATGAGAGGCAACATGCTAAAAGTGTTGAATAATTAGATACTATTCTTGACAAAAGGAGCTCTGGTAGCGTAGTAGTTACAAATCAGGCTGCGAACCTCAGGGTCAGCACTGGGAAACTACCAGCTGTTCCGCAGGAGAAAGATGAGGCTTTCTGCTCCCATAAAGATTTACAGCCTCGGAAATCCTGTGCAGGGTCGCTATGAGTCGGAAGCGTTCAACTCCAAGGCACACAGCCATCGCCCACAACCATTCTTAACAAAGAACCCTCTCCCTATTTCCCCACAAAAAAGCAACGAGTTGGAGTGAAGTAAATAAAGCAAATATTTATCTCATTTACCTGAGTAGTGGGGTCCTTGGACATATGTTTTTTCAAAATTTTTGAAGCCTTTTCGAATTCTTTGTTTTTGATACAAATAATGACAGCCTACAAAAGAGAAAAACTTTTTTTATTTTTTTACTGTTGTAATGACAAGGGTAATCAGAACAACAAATAAAATCAACTACTAAAAAGTTAATCTTACACACAAAGAGCTTTTTACATTGTACTAAACTGTTATACTTAAAAACAACTGTGATTCAAGTACTGTGAATAATCGTAACTCTCCATAGAAGTAAGCTATCTGTTACTTTGTAGGATAGTAGCATATTAAGATTACATCAGGTTCTTTTAAATGTTCCATATAGCAAACTCTGTTACTCTGGATTATTACTCAATTTACTCGATTTCAAATGGGGCCTCTAGGAGTCCTGCTGTAGCACTTTAGGATAAACACTAGACTGCTAACCACAAAGTCGCAGTTCAATCCCACCATCCGATCCTCAGAAACCCTATACAAGTCAATATGAGTAGAAACCTACTCTAAGGCATTTAACAAGTAAAAGCAAAATGGACCAGACTCATCCTACTTCTTTGTAAATTAATAATTGGTTCTGTCCTTTAGTAAGGAAAAGCTTTACATAAATTTAGGAGTCTATGGTATGGACAAAAATAAGCAGTTAGGTGCCCACAGAGCTCTTTTTCATTCACAAAAAGCCTGGGGGTCAGATCTACAGAATGCTCTCATTGCAGTAACCCCGACTGGCAACTTTCGTTAAAATGTGCAGGGAATTCCGAACAAAGAGTACAAAGTTCCAGGTAGGATGAGGTCTTATCAGCTACAGAGGAAAAAAGGGTCCTTCTATAAAGAAACCCCAAGAGAATTATACGTAGCAAAAAATGACCGAATTGTTTTTAAAAGAGGAAATTTTACATGCATGTTAAAAAAAATCAGAAAGACCCAATGAAAAGCTGTGAGTCTTCTGAATTATCTAGTATGATTGTTATTGTTGTCAAATGCCATCAAGTTGGTTCCAAATAAAAGTGACCCTGTACAGGGTTTTTATGGAATAACTGATAAGTTTGAACCACCGATCTTGTAGTTCAAAGGCACCTCACAATTAATTGCTTACCATATAGCATAACACTAGGACTAAAGTAACTTTAATCTGGTCTCAAAGCAAGAGGTATAAAGAAACAAACAGATACTTTAAAAAAAAAGAACAATTATTAAAAAGTCAAGAAAAAGTTTTTACATATACATACATATAAAAAAAGACCATACATTAAAAAAAAAAAAAAAGGAAGGAAACTGGAATATGTTAAGGAAATACAGACCAAATAGGAGAAATAGCATGGAAAACCATAAACGAACATTAGGATGTTTTGAGTCCATTGTTGTGGGCTGTTGTGTCAGTACATCTCATAGGAGGGTTTCCTCATTTTCACTGGCCCTCCAGTTTATCAGATGTCCCTTCCTAGGAACTGTTCTTTCTTTGATGACATATCAAAGAGTACAGCTCTAATAGAAACACTGCTGACCTTTCCATTAGCGGTTCAACACCTAATCCACAATGCCATCAGGATTCCTCCTCCTTTATCAAGCCTGATGTCCTTTTCCAGTGAGGTCTGTCCTAATAACATGTCCAAGGAGATGAGATAAAAGCCTGCCATCCTCACTTCTAAGGAGAAATACTGGTTATACTTCTTCCAAGAGACTTGTTCATTCTTCTGGTAGTCAGTCCATGGTAATGTTAACATTCACCAGCCCCAGAAACCAAAGACACCACCACTTCTTTGATCTTCCTTATTAACTATCCATGCTTATGAGAGGATGAATAATAACCATGATTTGGGTTAGGTGAAACTTAGTCCTCAAAGTGACAGCTTTTTAACAACTTTTAATAAGTCTTTTACACCAAATTTGCCTAATTTCTTGACTGCTGCTTCCATTGGCATTGATTCTGTAACAAAGTAAAATGAAATCCTTGACTTCAATCTTTTCTCCATTTACCACGTTGCTTATTGTCCAGTTGTGAGGATTTTTTATTTCTACATGTTGAAGTCTAATTCATAGTAAAGGCTTTAATCTTTTATCTTCATTAGGAAATGCTTCTTCTTCACTTTCAGCAAGCTACAAGCTTTTAACGGATGTACCCTTACAATAGTTTCTTCACTCAGCATAATACTTTTGAGACAGATTCATGTTGTTATAGTTAATTCTTTTTCATGATTGACTAGTATCCCATTGTATTCCCCTTTGTTTATCCACCCACCTAATAAAAGGGCATTTGGGTTTCTTCCAATATTGGATGATTATGTATAGCTACTAAAACATTAAAGTTTAGGTTCTGGTAGGAATCTAATTTTCCTTCCCTAAGCTAAATACCCAAGGAGCTCTGGTAGCGTAGTGGTTACGAATCGGGCTGCGAACCATAAGGTCAGCGGTTCGAAACTACCAGTCGCTCCGCGGGAGAAAGATGAGGCCTTCTACTCCCGTAAGGATTTACACCCTCGGAAACCCTGTACAGGGTCGCTATGGGTCGGAAGCGACTCAAAGGCACTTAACAACAACAACAACAAGCTAAATACCCAAGGAGCCCTGGTAGCATACATAGTAGATTACATGGTGGTCTGCTAACCACAAGGTCAACAGTTTGAATCCACTCCGTGGGAGAAAGATGAGGCTTTCTGCTCCCATAAAGATGTATGCACTCAGAAACCTTATACAGGGTCCCTATGAATCAGAACCAACTCAATGGCACACCACCACCAAGGTAAAATACCCAAGGATGAATTGTTGAGTCATATGATAAGTGCATGTTTAACTTAAACAGTCAAACTGTTTTCTGGAGTGGCTTTAAGATTTTGCATTATCAGGAATGAGTGTTCCAGTTGGTCCACATCCTTACAGGAACTTAGTAGCATTGTGAGGTACTGTCTAATTAGTCTGACTTATATAACTACCCTGTGTACAAGAGTACAAAACATGGCTCCATCCTGTGCCTCAGAATCATTCCTGTTTGGACCCATTGTTACAGTCACTGTGTCATTCCATCTCACTGAGGATCTTCCTCTTTTGTACTGACCCTTTAACAAGCATGATATCTTTCTCTAGAAAGTGGTCCTGCATGGTAACACGTCCAAAGTATGTGACGTGAAGTCTTACCATTCTTGCTTCTAAGAAACATTCTGGTAGTACTTCCAACACAGATTTGTTCGTTTTTCGGGTAGTTCTGTGTACTTCCACCACTCAACTGTCCATTTGTCATACTGTGGTGGCTGTCATGCTTCAGTGATTCTGGAAGCTGTGCCACTATTATTTTAAATACCAGCAGGGTAACCCATGGTGGACGGGTTTCAGCTGAGCTTCCAGATGAAGATAGAAGGAGAGACAGACTCCTTCCAAATATTTAATCACTGAAAACCTTATGAATAGCAGTGAAACATGAAACATGATACATGATGAAGAGCACAAGAATACTGTCAAAATAGTGCTGGAATATGAGCCCCTCAGATTGGATGGCACTCAAAAATGACTGGGGAAGAGCTGCCTCCTCTTTCTAGATAAAAGAGTTGACAGTAATTATGCAAATGAAGAAATGCCTTTGGGATCTTCATTCGCTGATGGGCACAATTCAAAATAAGGAGAAACAGCCGTAAACATCCACTAATAATCAGAACATGGAAGGTCTGAATCTAGGAAGATTGGAAGTTGTCAAAAATGAAATGGAATGCATAAACATCTGTATCCTAGGCGAGTGAGCTGAAATCGAGTGGAACTGGCCATTTTGAATGTGACAAATCACATCGTTTACTATACACTGTTGTTGTTAGGTGCCACTTCGTCTGCATGGATTTATAGCAACCCTATGCCTGGACCAACCTCACAATTGTTACAATGTATGAAGGCACTGATGCTGCCTCTGTGCCAATCCATGTCACTGGGGGTCTTCTTTTTCTCTGACACTCCACTTTATCAAACATGATATCCTTCCCCGTGACTGGTCCCTTCTGACAGTATGTCCGAAACATGAAACAACATGTCTGGCCATCTGGCTTCCTAGGAGCACTCTGGCTATACTTCTTTCAACACAAATCTATCTATTCTTCTGGCAGTTCATGGTACTTTCAACAGTCTCCAACACCATAACTCAAATACATCAATTTTTGTACAATCTTCCTTATTCACTATCCAACTTTCATATGCATATGGGGTTACTGAAAATACCATGGCTTGTGTCAGGTATACCTTAGTCCTCAAACTGGTATCTTTGCTCTTTAACATTTTAAAGAGGTCTTGTGCAGCTCATTTGCCCAATGCAATATGTCATTTGATTTCTTGACGGTTGCTTCCATGAGTGTTGATGTCAAGCAAAATGACATCATTGACAAATTCCATCTTTTCACCATTTTTATGGATGCTATTTATTGGTCCAGTGGTTGAGTATTTTTGTTTTCGTTACATGGAGATGCAACCCATATGGAAAACTGTGGTCTGTGATCTTCATCAATAAGTATTTTAAGTCCTCTTGGCTTTCAGCAAGCAAGATTGTACCATCGGCATATCACAGGTTGTTAATGAGCCTTCCTCCAATCCTGATACCATGATCTTCTTCATATAATCTAGCTTCTCTGATTATTTGTTCAACATACAGAATGAATAAGTATGGTGAAAGAATACAACCCTGGTACACACCTTTCCTTAATTTTAAACTATTCGGTGTTCCCTTGTTCTATTTGAACAACTGCCTCTAGGTCTATGTACAGGTTCCTCATGAACACAATTAAGTGTTCTGAGATACTTATACTAACAATGTTGTCCGTAGCTTGTCATGTCGGAATGACAAGAATGGCATGGCATTTATCATGAAAAGAACATTTCAAGCTGTATCTTGAAGTAGAACGCTGTATGTGATAGGATACTATCCATACATCCACAAGGAAGACTAGTTAATATACCACTATTATTCAAATTTACACACCAACCACTAAAACCAGTAAGGATGAACTTCTGGTTTGGTCATCAAACCAGATGAATTTCATCAAACATGATGAATTTCAACTTTAGTCTGAAATTGATCAAACATGCAATCATGATGTATTGA